AAGTGTCTCAATGACACTTAACAACAACAACACTATTGAAAAAGAGTTAATGCCTTGAAATTGTGGTTTTGGCAAAGAATATTGAATATAACAAGGACTGTCAAAAAAACAAAAGTACCTGTCTTGGAGGAATGCAACCAGATGTGGTGCTCCTTAGAATCAAGGACGGTGAAACTTCATCTCACTTACTTTGGGTATTTGTCAAGAAGGCACCAGTTCTGGGAGAAAATAGCATGATAGGAAAGAAGATAGTTGGTGAAAGAGAGGAAGATGCTCAAAGAGAGACTGACAATTTAACTGTAACAATGGGCTTGAGCATGGTTGAGATGGTGAGGATGGAATGATAACGGGCAAAGTTTCAATCTACTGTTTCTAGAGTCATTATGAATATTAGTTGACATGACAGCACTTAACAACAAAAGAGAATATCTCGTGATCAAGTTTTAAGTATGGGATCTACTCAGCATTTTCACTGTAGTTTCATCGGTATTGTATCTTTTTCCATTTAAAATCTGTGTTAAATTGTGTATTTAGAATACACAATTTAATGGCTGAGTGGGGTGAAAGAAATGGGAAGGAGCTTTTGTGAAAAACAATGTATTCAAAATTTGTGAATAAATCCAAATAATATAAAAAAGTACAGCCTTTGTCATTATTTCATATATTTCTTCAACTCCAAATTTGTATTAAAAAAATTTGCATTAAACCTATTACTAATTTAACCTTTACTTCATTAACCAGCATTTCACCATTGGAAAATGATGAGGAATCCCCTCCTCTGAAATCTACAGCCTCTGAAAACCCACTATAGGGTCAGTTACGATTTGGTCCTAACTCAACGGTACATAGCAACAGCAATTTTTATGCATTAATGATATATATCTGGCAGTAATGAACACTGAAGGGTGAGAGGAGAGTGATGTTAGTTTTGATGGTTAAGATTTTGTGTTCATTTAGCTGTGCTAGGATTCACAGAAGTTGGGAAATTATGTAAAGATGCAATTTTCCACTTACATGTAATGATGTTGTAATCCTCCATGTCATAGTCTAATAAAGTGATCCTTCATTTTTGTGCTATTTGAAAATTGCATATATTTTCAAATAACAATCAGATCTTTGGGACCTAATCATGTTGATAAGTAAAGAGTAGGCACATTTGTGTCAGTTTGACATTATTATCTTTTGATACAATTATATTCTTTAATTATGCTATTGTTAGGTTTTGACAAATTGATTTCCAATCATGACCCTATGTACAAAAAAAAAAATTACTACCTAGTCCTTGACCATCCCCCAAATCATTGGTATATTTGAGTGTCTTTGAATCCAATATATCAATCCATTTTCTGAAAAGTCTTCCTCCCTTTCCGAAACCCTCAATTTTATCAATCCTCATGTTCCCCAGGGACTGATCTTGCATAAAAACATTTCTAAAATATATAAGATGAAGTCTCATCCTTGAGTTTAAGAAGCATTCAGCAAAACAACTATGAGATATCTTCTCACCTCAGTAAGAACAGCAAACTTTAACAGAACAGCAAGCAAAAAATACTGGCGAGGTTGTGGAGAAACTGCAACCCTTATCCACTGTTGGTGGAAATGTAAAATGGTGCAACCACTATGGAAGGCTGTATGGTGCTTTCTCCAAAAGTTGCAAATAAAAATACCATTTGACCCAGAAATTCCGCTACTAGGAATATATCCCAAAGAAACTGTAACTGCCACCCAAGCAGATATATGCACACTCATGTTTATTACTGATATGTTCACAATAACAAAGAGTTGAAAACAACCCAAGTGCCCATCAACAAACGAATGGATAGAGAAGCTGTGGTATAGTCACACAATGGAATAGTATGCTGCATTAAAAAACAAGAAACTCATGAAATGTTATTCACAATGGGTAACCCTGGAGAACATTATGCTGAGAAATATCTCAGTCACAAAAGGACAAATACTGCCTAGTGCCACTGTTGTAAAATGGACTGACCTTGGGATTGGGGGAAGACTGAGAAAGAGGAGATAAATAATGTATACTGCATTGAAATAGATGA